GGGCGCCGGGCGGAAGCGCGTCACGCGGCGGCGGGGCGGGCGGCCATGGCGCTGTCGCCCTACGTGCTCGCCATGCAGGAGCTGTTCCGCGCCAACACGCGCAGCCGCGAGTTCCCGGCGCACGGCGCCAAGGTGCACTCGGTGGCCTGGAGCTGCTGCGGCCGCCGCCTCGCCTCGGGCTCCTTCGACAAGACGGCGAGCGTCTTCGTGCTCGAGAAGGACCGGCTGGTGAGCGGGCCGCGCGGCGGGGCGGGCGGGCGCGGGGCGGCGCCGCGAGCCGGGCCCCACGGCCGCGCTGTGTCCGCAGGTGAAGGAGAACAACTACCGCGGGCACGGCGACAGCGTGGACCAGCTCTGCTGGCACCCCAGCAACCCCGACCTCTTCGTCACGGCCTCGGGCGACAAGACCATCCGCATCTGGGACGTGCGCACCACCAAGTGCATCGCCACCGTCAACACCAAAGGTGCGGCCGGGCCCCCGCTCACCGCCTCGGCCTGGCGCTCCTCGAGCGGGCGCGTGGAGCGGCGCAGGACGCCGGGGTGTTGGTGCCCGCGCTGCAGAACCCCCTCGTGGGCGGTGCTGGTTGTTCACGCGTCTCTGCGCTTGTCCCTGGAGCCTGTGGGGCAGGGGAAGGCGTTTGCACACAGCGGTGGTGCAGCTGAACCCTGGCGTGGACTCAGAAAGCGGTTAACCAAATTTATGGGCCAGCTAAGCCAGGTATCATCTCTGAGGAAAGCCCCAATTTTGAATTGCTGGAACGGGGAAGAGCAGGATAGTGTAGCTGCAGCATGCCTTGCTCTTGCCCTTGCTCCTCTCTGCTTGTTGTTGGCTGCTGCTGCTTCTGGATCTTGATGATCACGGGGTTAAGAGGCGCTTAGATTTGATCTTGGGTGGTCATTTCTGTGGTGACGTCTTGGCTGAGCTGGGAGGAGGAGCAGTGCAATCATCTCACTCTGAAGCTGTGGTTCTGTTAAATTTAATTTTCATTAGCTCTGTGTATCTGTGGACCAGCCGCTAAGCGGGGTTTGTGTGCTGAGCTGCAGATTGTCCTGGAGCTGGGAGCAGTTCAGAGTTAGTGGAGCAGCCTGTGGCCTTGGGTCGGGAAACAAGGAACGCCCCGTGCCTGCTCAACGTGCCACGGTCCTGTGGCTTGCTGGGTGGAAACGGCACCCGCTGCCCTTGCTTCCTTCCAGGGGAGAACATAAACATCTGCTGGAGCCCCGATGGCCAGACCATTGCTGTAGGGAACAAGGATGACGTGGTCACCTTCATTGACGCCAAGACGCATCGCTCCAAAGCCGAGGAGCAGTTCAAGTTTGAGGTGAACGAGATCTCCTGGAACAACGATAACAACATGTTCTTCCTCACCAACGGCAACGGCTGCATCAATATCCTCAGGTAGGTGCCTGTGGCAGCACGTGGGGGGAAAGTGGCCTGGCTGCCTCCATGCAGGTTAGTATCTGCATTCGTTGACAGTGATGTGAGTCTCCCTGCTGCTTGCAGGAGTTGGGGTCCTGCTGCCTGGTGTTTCCCACCTCCCTTTTGCAGGGCAAGTTGGGGAAAGGCTGAGGTTGCCTCAGTTCTGGGCTGGGCTTGGTGGGGAGTTACACAGATGCTTTGCCCGGCTCTTAGGGTCTCCGGTTTTACTTGCTCACTGCTGCAGTGCATCTTATGTCTCACCTGCTTGTAGACAAACCCTCTGCGCCTCTCACTGCTTCCTCTTCCTTCCCTCTCCACAGCTACCCAGAGCTGAAACCCATTCAGTCCATCAACGCCCATCCTTCAAACTGCATTTGCATCAAGTTTGATCCCATGGGGAAGTACTTTGCCACGGGCAGTGCCGATGCTCTCGTCAGCCTGTGGGACGTGGACGAGCTGGTGTGCGTGAGGTGCTTCTCAAGGTAGGTCGGGCTGCCCTGGGCCTTTCCCCCTGTCCTCCCTGGGGACCTGCTGGGTGATGATTCACTGTCTGCCTGGCCCTGCTGCTGCAGGCTCGACTGGCCTGTGCGAACGCTGAGCTTTAGCCACGATGGGAAGATGCTGGCGTCGGCGTCCGAGGATCACTTCATTGACATTGCGGAGGTGGAGACAGGTAACGATTCCCCACGGGGAGGAACAGGAGGGAGTGGGACAGGGAGGTGCTGGTGACGCTGGGAGGGCCTGGCGAGGCTTGTGTGCTTGCAGAGAGCTCGGCTGGGCGTCAGGGGGAGCCCCTGCCTCGCTGCTCCATTTTGGAGACGTTATGTATGTGTCTTGTGCTCTGCTGATGCAAGCGCTGAAGCAGAGTTGCCCCTGCCCCGTGCAAGAGACAGGAGGAGGTGGCGGCTGCCCGGCCCTGGTGCCATGAGGCAACGGGCAGGACCAGAGCTCTCCTGACCCGGCCTGTCTTCTGTGCAGGAGAGAAGCTTTGGGAGGTGCAGTGCGAGTCCCCCACCTTCACAGTGGCCTGGCACCCGAAGAGGCCTCTGCTGGCCTTCGCCTGCGATGACAAAGATGGCAAATACGACAGCAGCCGGGAGGCCGGCACTGTCAAGCTCTTCGGGCTCCCTAATGACTCCTGACGGAAGCGCGAGGGGCAGCAGGGAGAGCACCAGGAGCAGCGGCACTTCCCTGCTCCTGGGGTGACTTAGTCCGTGTCGGATGGGACCAGGAGCCGGGGTCCCTCCTGGCGTGCTCAGCGGCGCTCCTTGGCTCGGCAGCGCGTCCTGCTTGTAGGACGCGGCTGGCGGGGACGGTGGGCGCTGCTGGCGGGGCCGCGCGGGTCCTGCGCCGTCCTGGGGGCGCAGAGGGCCCCTTGCCGGGGCCAGCGGCTGGGGAGGGTCTGTCCCTGCGCCCCGGTCCCCTCCCCTGCGCCTCTCCTGCCCCTGCCCCTCGCTGGGCGGCAGGGGGACGGTGGGAGGGGGCTGCCCCCGGGGCTCCCTAGGGGCACGGGGTTGGGGGTGGCTCTTTTTGTATGTGTTGTTGTTTTTCTAATTTTGATAAATCCTCTTCTGTAAGGAAGGTGCCTGTGGCTGTTGCGTGGGGGCGGCTGGGGGGACGGCGGCAGCCCCTTCCCCGTCCTGCGCTCTGTGCCCTTGCTCTGCAGAGAGGGGCTGTGGGCGGCAGGTCGGGGCTGTCCCTCGTCCCCACGCGGCCTGTCCCTCTCCCCGCTGGCGCTCCGGGCCTGGCAGGCGCTGTCACCCCGCCAGGGGGCACTGCGTGCCCGTGTTGGGGACAGCGCTGGGGACAGCAGTGGCAGAGCAGCCTGGGCACCGCTGCCTGCGCGGGCTGGCCCCCTCGCCTGGGGCTGCACCGTTGAGGCTGTCACCGGGTCCCCAGCACGACCCCAGCCTCGTGGTCCCCAAGTGCTCCTGGCTGCGGCACGAGCTGGCGGGGAGTGGGGGACACGCTGCAGGAGGCCAAGGCTGGTCCAGGGGCCACAGCAGGGACAGGAGTGAGCGGAGCTGCGTGGGCAGCGTGGGGCTCCCGCGCAGCCCCGCGGGCTGGGGCAGGGCTGCGGAGCAGAGCTGCGGGCACTGCGATGGAGACCTCGCCCGCGCCATCTCTATCACTTCCCAGCCTAATGTTTCCTTCTGACAGAGGCTTTTCCAGGTGACTGCTCCGCTGATGCCGCCTGGGTAACGGCCGAGCTCTTGCCTGTTAAATGATGGCGAATCAGTCAGAGCCAAGGCCGCTCGGAGCAGATCGCCAGGACAGGGGGGCCGTGAGTCCTTCCCACCTTGTACCCGCTGTGTGTCCCCACTCGTAGCTTGGGGGAGTCCCTTGTCACGGTGGAAGGGGTGAAAGCCCCAGCGACCCAGGGCTCTTTCAGGACTGGGGTGCCCCAGATCCAGCTGCTTTTTGCCTTGTCCCCAACCCCGTCGCAGCCCCAGCGAGGGCTCCCGGGGGACACGTGGCTCTGGGAGTGGGGCTCTGACAGCCACGTGAGGCCTTGCCCTGATGCCAGAGCCCGCTGGAGAGGCGCTGCAGGGAAGCAAGGGCTGAGCAGAGGCCGGAGCAATGTACAAATCCCTTTATTTTATTAGTTTGTCAAAGACTAGTTCGAGCAGGATGGTCACGGCATGGCTGCCCCCGCCCCGGGCAGGGCCACGCGAGCGGCTGGGGACCACGCGAGCGGTGGTGGAGAAAGCGACGGAGAAAGCGGCAGGGCCAGGAGCACGGCGGCACGAGGGGCAGGTCGGGGCCGATGGCATCTGCCCATGTCCCCCGGCGGGGTGCGGGAATGAGCCCGGGCCACCCTGCCGGGGGTCCCTTCCCAAGCGCAGTGCGTGCGGCGTCGGGGGAGGCGGCGGGTGCCAGGGGGGCGCGGGCTGGGCTGGGCGGCCCTCGGCTCCGCGCTGCGGCACCCATGGGCGCGGGTTGGAGCGGCGGCCCCGCGCGGGCCGGGGCGCTCGGCCCCGGGGGTGGCGGGACGGGGGCGGCGGACACGAGGACGCATGGAGCACCTTGGCACAGAGACACGAACGCGAGAACGGGGGCCAGCGGGACCGAGACACGGACGAGCGAGCGGTGGGGACAGCGGGGACGGGGCCGGGGGGGACGAGGCAGGGGAGGCCCTGCCCCGCACGCGCCTTTGTACACGGTTGGCGGAGCGCGGCGCCCGCTCCTCCCGGTGCTGAAGTATTGCAGTCTAACTGATATGGCTTTAACTATGGGGCCAGAGATGCGGGGAGGGGGTCCCGTGCGAGCCCCCCGATGCTGGGGCGCAGCGGGCGGCGCGGGGGGACCCCCATGCCCGGGGGGAGCTGCGGGCAGGGCGCCTGGCTTTGTGCTTCGGGGGAGGGCCCGGGATGGGGCTGGGGGTGGCAGTGCCGGGGACGTGGGCAGGCGAGCGGAGGCGCTGGCGGCCGCCCAGGCCTGCGGGGCCCCCGGGGCGCGGGACAGAAAAGGACGGGGGTGCAGGGAGCCCCCCTGGGCGCCGGCAGGGCCCGGGGCGCTCCCGGCGAGGTTACTCAGTGCGTTTGGTCCCGGGTCGCTCCGTCTGGCCAGGGCTGCTCCCCTTTGGCACTGTGAGCGCGGGGGGGCCCTGCCGGGACGGGGTGGGGGGTGGGTCCAGTCGAGGAGGGGATGGTGGGGAGGGGGTGCAGGACCCCCCTCCGGGCCAGGAGGAGCAATGGGGGTGTCGGAGGGAGAAGGGCGCCCGTGCCCCAGCGCCCCGTGGCGGGGGCGGCGGTGCTGTTACTTCTTGAACATATCCTGCAGTGGGCCGGGCAGGTACTTGAGCACCGTGTCCAGGATGCTCTCCTCCTCCTCCTCCTCCTCGTCGCCACAGCCCGCCGGGATCGCCTTCTTGGGGCGCGTCAGGCTGCCTTCGCACGGCTGCTCCAGCGCTGCCTTCTCCTCGGCCTCCTTCTCCTCCTTCTTCTTCAGCCCGTACTGCAGGGGGACACAGGCCCTGAGCGGGCGGCACCACAGCCCTTGCCCGGCCCCACTGGCTGCCCCCTGGGCATCCTGGCTCCCAGTGCCCGCGCCGGGCACCCACCTTGTCGCGGATCTGCTGCCGGACCTTCTCGCGCTCGGCCTCCATGCGGGCGTGCTTGGCTTTCCGCTCCTCCTCCTGCTGCCGCAGCGCCTCCTGCCTCTCCTCCTCCTTCTTCTGCGCGTCGGGGTCCTTCTCCTCCTCGCCCCCCAGCATCTTCCCCATGTCCTTGGTGGCCCCTGTGTGGCACAGGCCGCTCGGCTGGGGCCCCAAGTGTGCCGTGGCACGGAGCTGCTTCCCGAGCACCGGGGCACGGAGCAGGGAGGCCGCGGGGCCGCCGGTGCTGCCACCCCGGTCCCTTGTCCCCACGTCCCTGGTGCTGGCAGCAGCCGCGCTCCGGAGGCTGCGGAGGCGCCCGAGCCGCGGGCTGGCTGCACTGCCCTAGTTCAGCGGCAGCCGGGGGAGACGCCGGCAGCTCCCGCAGAGCTGGCACCCAGGGGACCCGCCGGGGAATCCCACTCAGCGCAGGAAAGCCGGGATTCCCCAGCCAGGCGCTGCTGCGGCGCAGAGCCGGGAAGTGCGCGGGGGCTCCGACCGCTGCCGCTCCCCATGGCTCCGTCCCCACCGCGGGGGCTCTCGCGGCTCGGGGGCCGTGTGGGGCCGTGCGGGCGCACACTCACCGCCCAGCGCTTGCTTCATGACGAAGTCCATGGTGCCGGTGTGCGCGTGCGCCTAGGCCGGGGCCGAGCGCTCATCCACTGCTGCCAGCCGCGCTCGCTGACCAGGGGCACCTGGGCAGGGCGAGAGGGACGCGGTCGGACGTGCTGAGCCCTCCCCGGCCTTGAGGTCCTCCCTGCCCTAGCCATGGCAGCGAGTGCCTGGGCAAGCCGGTCCCCGGCTGTGCCAGGCACAGGGATACTAGTGGCTGCAGGATACACTGCAGAGCTGCCTCTGGACTGCACAGAGTGAGATTTGGGGGCCTGCAGGCAGAGGTGACGACAGGGGCACGGGCTCTACCCTGCTTGGGGGGCTCCTTGAGAGCCTGGCAGCGCCTTGTCCCCTGCCCGTGTCCTTAGTGTCTGCAGGGCGAGTGGAGGGACGGGACTGCACAGGGCAGGGATAACACCTAGGGGCAGGTTCGGCTGGGGCTGGGGCTGAGGGCAGTAACCGGTGGTGTCTGTGTGTGTTTGCGTGGCCGTCCTGCCAAGACTGCAGTGGGCTGGGCGTGCAGGGCGCTGCATTCGCGGGCTCGAGAGCACATGCGTGCGCCCTACGGGTGTGCTGAGGGATGAAGCCCCGTGTTCGGGGGATGTTCGTGCAGGGTGGGTGCTGCCTGTGTACACGGGGTGTGTGCGCTGCTTGCGGGTCTGCAGGCTGCACGCGCAGGGTGCGCGCGCTTGCGGGTCTGCAGTGTGCATGCATGGCGGGTGCGCGCCGCACTTGTGCACACACTGCGTGTGCCGTGTGTGTGCACATTGGGGGTACACAGGCTGTTTGTGGGACGTATGTATGTGCAGGGAGCTCGCAGGCTCTCTCTGCACGCTCTGTGTGTGTGCGCAGGTTTGGGGACCGTGTGTGTACGCAGTGCTGCAGCCGGTGTTTGCCCTGTGTGTGTGTTGGGGGGGTTGCAGGTGCCTACACGCTCTGTGCGCAGCTTGGCATGTACACATGTGCAGGTTGCATGTGCTGTGTGTGCACACACGTGTGCTCGTGTGGCTTGGCGGGCTGCTCTGGGTGCGAGTCCGTGGACTGCGTGTATGCAGGGGGGTTGCAGGTGTGTGTCCGGTGCCCTCTGTGCGTGTGTGCGCGGGGGGGTTGCGTGCGGGGTGTTGCAGGGTGTGTGCGTGCTGTGCCCGCTGTGTGCATGTGTGCGTGGAGGGGGGTTGCAGGGGGTGCGTGGGGTGTTGCAGGGTGTGTGCGTGCGGGGGGGTTGCAGGGGGTGCGTGGGGTGTTGCAGGGTGTGTGTGCGGTGCCCTCTGTGTGTGTGTGCACGGGGGTTGCAGGCTGCTGGCGCGCGCCGTGTGCGTGTTCGCAGGCAGCCTGTGCGCGCTGGGGGGGGCACCGTGGGTGCCGCAGCCCCGCGGGGCCCCCCCCTGCCCCCGGGGCCCCCAGGGCTCCCGGCGCCAGCGCCGCGTGGGGAAGTTTGTTGTCCCCACGCAGCCCCGCAGCGGGGCCGCAGCGGGCGGGGGGAGCCGGGGGACGCCGCGGGGACACGGCGGACACGCGGGACGTGGGGGACACTGAGGGATGTGGGGGGCACCGAGACGCGGGGACACCCTGGATGCAACACCGGCCAGCGCGGGGACACGGCGGGGACGCGCAGGACACGGTCGGGGACACGCACACACACGCACACACACGCACGCAGGGAGCCTGGCGCATGCGAGGGGACACCGCGGCACGGCGGGGGGGCGGCAAGGACAC